TAGGACATGGTAGTGAAAGAAAGTGAAGTCGCTCAGTCGTGTCCGACTCTTTGCGACCCCATGAACTGTAGCCCACAAGGCTCCTCCATCCATGGAATTTTCTAGGCAAGAGTGCTGGAATGGGTTGCCATTTCCTTCTCCAGGGGAATCTTCCCAACCTGGGGATCGAACCTGGGTCTCCCGCATTGCGGGCAGACGCTTAACCATCTGAGACACCAGGGACATGGTAGGGATAAAGGCTAAAACCTGTTAAGGATTCCACAAACCTCTGGATATATTACTAATACCTGTGTAGCTTGTCAGAGTCTGCAACAAGCACTGGAGTAACAAATGAGAGACACAGGCCCTGTCCTTAAGGACAGGGAGATCATAGTCAAAAATGTGGGGAGAGCTGAGAAAAAGGCCAGAGGTCTTGGTGGGGGACTGGAAAGTATGAGTGGGTACAGGGTGGTGGTCAAGAAAGAAACTAGTTGGAGGGGAATATGATATCAAAACAAAATTAAAAATTGATATTCTCTCCTCTTGTTCCTCATAGAAAAGAGCTTAGACATATTTTTCTGTTTTACTTTTCCCCAAAACTTTTATGTGTGTGTCAGTTTGGTGGGGGGTGTTTTTCTGGTTTTTATTTTTTTGCTTTACTGTTTAAATTTATATAAATAATTTGGTTTATAACCAATAAATATAAAGAAAATCACACACACAAAAACATAAATAGAAATTGAAAAGCAAAATTGTTTTCAGAATGTGTTACTCTTTTTATTTAAGTAGAAATAATATCTGAAAGTCCACTGCCCTAATCCTTAAGAATAATGATAATTACTACTGACTGAGCTTTCTCAAGAACCAGATATGGGACACAAACATTTTTTCACCCAGCTACATCTTCACAACACATCTGTGCAGCAGTAATTCCTAGATCTAGCTTAAGGACAAGGAGTCTGAAATTTGGAAACTAAGTGACTTCATCAAGTCCTCACAGTCATAAGAGGCAGAGCAGGAATTAAAATGTGGGTCATGTTGACATTTGATTTAAACCCTTAAACATTCTATCCCTGGCTTCCCTCTGTATCATTTCCTGAGAACTTTACACATTGCAGGGTCTCTCCAGAAACTCTCTTTAATCAATCAACATTGTGCCTTGGAGACAAAGGCATATAAAGTGGAATAATAAGTTTTGTAGTTATAATGCTTGGTCATCATTATCTACCTGAATACAAAGTTTAGCACTGCTTTGTAATCATGTTCTCCTCCTCCTCCGGAGTGTGTACACAGAGCATGATCAAAAGTAGGGTGGAGACTGATGGAATAGAACCAAAACCTGGTGATGTCGAGGATGTTTAGTCTTTGCTCAGATGTAATTCCAAATATTACCAGCAGGGCCAAGAATCATCCCATTTTTCTTTATTGATAAAGTTCTCTTATATACACAAGCATACAACCTTTCTTTTTTTTAAAGAGGTATTAAAAATAACACAGGGCACATTTATAGATTCTTTCATCTGAGGATATAAAAGGACTTAGACACATACACTATTTCTGCTAACTAGTCTCATTTGATTCATTTCAGAGATTGGTACAATCAAAACTTGGGAATATAAACTTCTTGCATTCTACTGCAACCACTAAGTCATGAATCTGGTAGCCAGAGGAAATCTTTAAATACAAGGGTTACAGGTGCTGAAAATTTCTTCCCATTTTTCCTTAAAGGGATATCTTTTAAAAACTATTTTTAAATTATGGTGACCGGGATGGGGAATACATGTAAATCCATGGCTAATTCATTTCAATGTATGACAAAAACCACTGCAATGATGTAAAGTAATTAGCCTCCAACTAATAGAAATAAATGGGAAAAAATAATAATAAATAAATAAATAAACTGTGGCAAAATACTGTGGCTCAGTGGTAAAGAATCTGCCTGCCAATGCCTGCAATGCAGGAGATGTGGGTTTGATCCCTGGGTTGAGAAGGTCTGGAGAAGGAAATGGCAACACACTCCAGTATTCTTGACTGGAAAATCCCCATGGACAGAGGAGCCTGGTAGGCTATAGTCCATGTGGTGCAAAAAGTCAGACATGACTTAGTTACTCAACAACAACACACAATATTTACCACCTTAATGACTTTATGTGTACATTTAAGTGGTATTAAATACATTCCCATTATCGTACAGCCATCACCACCATCCAGCCACAGAGTCCTTAAATTTTGCACAAGTGAAACTCTATAGCCATTAAACAACTCCCCTCCCTGCAACTCCAGAAACCCACCATTCTTCCTGTCTCTATGAACTGACTAATCCAGGTACTTCATATTAATAGAATTATACAGCAGTTATCATCTGTGACTGGCTTATTTCACTTAACATAGTTTACTGAAGGTTCATCTTTGTTGTAGCATGTGTCAGAATTGGCTTCCTTTCTAAGGCTGAATTATATTCCATTGTGTGTATATATATATATATATATATACACCATGTTTTGTTCTTCCAGTTATCTGTCAATGGAACCTTAGGTGACTCCATGTTTTTGCGATTGTGAATAATGTTGCTATGAAAACAAATATATAGAGATCTCCGCATGACCCTGCTTTCAATATTTGGGGTATATACCCTAAAATAGAATTGCAGGATCATACGATAATTCTGGTTCCAAATTGGGAAAGGAGTATGTCAAGGCTGTATACTGTCACCCTGCTTATTTAACTTATATGCAGAGTACACAGGACTGGAAAAGGTCAGTTTTCATTCCAATCCCAAAGAAAGGCAATGCCAAAGGAAGTTAAAACTACTGCACAACTGCACTCATCTCACACACTAGCAAAGAAATGCTCAAAATTCTCCAAGCCAAGCTTCAACAGAACATGAATCATGAATTTCCAGATGTTCAAGCTGGATTTAGAAAAGGCAGAGGAACCAGATATCAAAATGCCAACATCTGCTGGATCATCGGAAAAGCAAAAGAGTTGCAGAAAAACATCAACTTATGCTTTATTGACTACACCAAAGCCTTTGACTGTGTGGATCTCAACAAACTGGAAAATTCTTACAAAGATGGGAATACCAGATCACCTGATCTGCCTCCTAAGAAATCTGTATGCAGGTCAAGAAGCAATAGTTAGAACCGTACATGGAACAACAGACTGGTTCCAAATCGGGAAAGAAGTTCGTCAAGGTTGTTTATTGTCACTCTGCTTATTTAACTTATATGCAGAGTACATCATGCGAAATGCTGGCCAGGATGAAGCACAAGCTTGAATCAAGATTGCCTAGAGAAATATCAATAACCTCAGATATACAGATAATGCCACCCTTATGGCAGAAAATAAAGAAGAACTAAAGATCCTCTTGATGAAAGTAAAAGAGGAGAATGAAAAAGTTGGCTTAAAACTCAACATTCAGAAAACTAAGATCATGCCATCCAGTCCCATCACTTCATGGCAAATAGATAGGAGAAACAATGGAAACAGGGAGAGACTTTATTTTCTTGGGCTCCAAAATCACTGCAGATGGTGACTGAAGCAATGAAATTAAAAGACACTTGCTCCTTGGAAGAAAAGTTATGTATGACCAACTTAGAGAGCATATGTTAAAAAGCAGAAACATTACTTTGCCAACAAAGGTCCATCTGCTCAAAGCTGTGGCTGTTCCAGAAGTCATGTATGGATGTGAGAGTTGGACTATAAAGAAAGCTGAGCACCAAAGAATGGATGCTTTTGAACTGTGGTGTTGGAGAAGACTCTTGAGAGTCCCTTGGACTGTAAGGAGATCCAATCAGCCCATCCTAAAGGAAATCATCATGAATATTCATTGGAAGGACTGATGTTGAAGCTGAAACTCCAATACTTTGGCCACCTGATGCGAAGAACTGACTCATTTGAAAAGACCCTGATGCTGGGAAAGATCGAAGGCAGAGGAGAAGGGGATGACAGAGGTTAAGAGGCTAAGATGGTTGTATGGCATCACTGACTCAATGGACATGAATTTGAGCAAGCTCTGGGTATTGGTGATGGATGGGGAAGCCCGGCGTCCTGCAGTCCATGGGGTCGCAAAGAGTTAGACATGACTGAACTACTGTACTGAACTGAACTGATGATAATACTATTTTTAACTTTCAGGAGTTTCTATTGTGCATATTTATATAATTCAGCCTCTAAAACACTCCCTAAAAATCATATTTCTTTAGCAAGAAGAACAAAAACAACTAAAAAAAAAAACCCATACAAAATAAGCAAAAACAAAGAATCAGAACAAAGGAAAACAGAATCAGAGCCCAGGAAGAGATGATCAATTCAAAGCTTCATCATCACAACCATCATGTATGGGGTCTACATGAAGCACCGCACATGCACTGGCCCATTTAGCCCTCACATCAGCTCAATGAGTTGGACTGTTAGCTGCCTTGTAAGGGAGAAAAAACTGAGGTACAGAAAGATGGAATTCCAAGTCCCCTGTTCTAACTCATTATTCTGTACTACCTCCCTGGTTAAAATAATTTACTAATAGCTGAATTCTAAAAGACTCCCCAAAGCATCTATACACCCTATAATTCTCAAAGCCCCGCAGTTTCACAGAAAGCCCTCCAGGGAGATAATCACTCTTGAAAAAGTGGCTTTATTTCCCATAACAAAATTCCATCATTAAAACACAAAATTCAGGTTTCCCTATAGGAACCTCTCCAGTGCTGCACAAACCAGTTATCATTTTGTCTTAGAATTATGTGGTTATCAATAGACAAAATCATGACACCTAAAAAAGTCTAAGTCCAGAAATCTGTCTGGGTCAGCTATTAAATAACATGTACACAAAAGAAACAAATGAACAAATAAACATTCTGGTATCTGCTAAAATGCCTGTTGAAAATACCTGCTGCTAAAAATATTCTCTATTGGGAGAAAAAGGATCAACCTTTCATGCAATTTGAGAAAAAACAATCAAATTAAAGGCAATTAAATCAGCTGCCTCATAAAAAGTACACGCGAGAATACTCTGATGTGCATACCTGAGGTGCAACTGTCATTTTCTTCCTTAAATCGTGAAGTCCAACGTCATTTGTCAAGATGTTATCAACCAGAATTCTATCTCCAGGCTCTGACAATCTAAGAAGGGCAGCGATGACAGAACTTTTTCCAGCTCCTGTTCTTCCCACAATGCCAATCTGTGAAGAGATCCAGGAAGGATTAAGAATTAACAGTATACAACCAACCTAGCAGAAAATCTGATTGCTGAAGATGATTTTAGAAAGTTCTATATAAAGAGTAGTCTCTAAGTTTCTCAAACATGGATGGCACTATTGATATTTTGTTGAGGGGATGGGGGACTACCCTGTATATTTCTGGAGGGTTAACAGTAGCCTTGGACTCTACCCACTGGATACCAGAAGCATCCCACAAACTATGGCAACCAAAATTTTCAGGCATTGACAAGTGTCCCCTGGTTGGGACCCCATGGTCACAAGACAAGTTAAAACTAACAGAATCAATACACTAGCAGTGAAAAGCCAACAGTCAAAGTCAGCTTATAAATTAGCTTTATCCTTATCTGTCTCGGTATTTTGACTTTTAGAATTATATGGGTAATTTTACAGAGATGTCAAGTCTAGTCAGAAGTGTGATACATAACCAAATACTCACTTTTTCAGGGATCTGTTATTTAAGAGGAATTATTCTTTGGTAGAGAAATTAAATCACTTATGTTAAATATTTTGATTATATTCTATCTTGAAAGGAAACATCTTAAAATTATAAAATGCAGTTCTCAGTGTCTTAAAAGACAGTGGCCAATAGACAGAATACACATAATGAGTCAACGACAACACAATGTTTGCTATTTATATGGGGCCTTTCATTTGAGCAGCTTAAAAGGCATTTTATAACAAATTAATACTTACAACTGAATCTTGGAAAGATACATGTCAAGTGTCAGTCTAGTTATTAAAACCAGAACAGAGATAGGGAGTTTGGGTTTGACATGTACACACCGCTATATTTAAAATGGATAACCAACAAGGGCCTACTGTATAGCACAGGCAGCTCTGCTCAATGCCATGTAATAATCTAAATGGAAAAGAATTTGAAAAAGAATACACACATGTATACGTATAACTGAATCACTATGCTATACACGTTAAGCTAACACACCACTGTTAATCAACTATAAAATAAAATTTAAAGATTTTTTTAAAAAGCAGAGAAAAACTAAGTGTACTAACAGTAAGATTAAAGAGTCTGTATAATATAGGTAAAATATTGGTGGGGAATAAAACTATACTGTAAAGACTCACTTTTAACTGTGTGCATTTAATATGTATGCAGAGACTTTTTTTTCTGACCAATGAGCTTGCTCAACTGCAAATTCCCTGGTGGGAGCTTCCCAAGAGATGATTTCATCTCTATTTAGGGATTTGGGATCAATTAAGGGTATAAGACATGTGTTCAATCATTTGTCAATTAACTCAGTAAATTTTTAAAACTCTTGGATTCAAACAGAGAACTAAATTCTTCTGAGCACTGTTATCAGAATGCCCATGCTCAGAACCTTTCATATTTTCTCACTTGAATGTCTCCAAAGTATTGAATCTTAAGTCTGTAAAATCAGTCATGGCATTTAAAAAAATAATTTATCATTACAGAGGTTAAATGTAAGAAAAGAGGGCTTACCTAATTTTATTATCTTTGTAGCCATTTTGTACCTTATATTAAACTCTAATTTATATAATATAGATAGACCAGTCTCTGTACATGGGCAGGTCTAGGGTATGTATGGATGTATATGTGTGTGTGTGTGTGTGTGTGTGTGTATACATATATATATATATATATATAAAACGCCTGTGCTCTGTGTACAGACGGACCTCAAAGATATTGCAGAGTTGGTTCCAGACCACCTCAATAATATAAATATCACAATATTGACACTATATTATAGTCTACATTATGTCTACAATGTACATACCTTAATTTTCAAATACTTTATTGTTATAAAAACACTAACCAGGAATACATGTAAATCCATGGCTAATTCATTTCAGTGTATGACAAAAACCACTGCAATGATGTAAAGTAATTAGCCTCCAACTAATAAAAATAAATGGAGAAAAAAATATACATAAAAAAAAAGGAAATGTCTATTAAAAAAAAAAAAAAACACTAACCATTATCTGAGCCTTTATTGGGTTATAGTAACATTAAATTTCAGATCACTGCAACAAAAGCAAAATGAAAAAGTTTGAAATATTGCAAGAATCACCAAAATGTGACAGAGATACAAGCTGAGCAAATGCTGTAGGAAAAATGGTGCTGATCCATTTCCTTGAAGCACGGTTGCCATGAATGCTCAATTTATTAAAAAAAAAAAAAAGAAGAAGCACTATTTGTGAGGCACAATCAAACCAGGTATGTTTGTATTTCTGGCTGTTCCCATATATAAATCAACACAAATCAGGACACGGGTGAGAACTGTGTCTATGAGAATGTATGTTTCCACACTCTCAGTTCTACTGAAACTGATTCACCTGTGCAAACAGGAACAAACTCTTGGCAAATGGCCAAGATTCTCAGGTGCACCACAGGCTGCTCACAACAACAGGACTGTGAGCTCCAAACCCCAGTGAGGAGAGTAAGAAAAAGGCAACTCAAGAAAACCGGGCTTTGCCTATTTCTACCATTCAGTAATCAAAACTAGTCTCAAGTCTTTCCCAGCTCATCAATGTGTTTTACCAATTGCCCATGCAGAGTGTCACCAGCATGAATAAATTTGCATTCCTAACAAAAAGACATTTGGAGACAAAATAAGATTATTTTAGCTGCTTTGTGATGGCTCCTTGCTGTTTTCCTAGACCACAGAGGTGTTGGTTTCTGATGACCACACCAACTTGTTAGACATTTGCATCTAGATCTCTCTTCAATACCAAACCTAACATGATCAACACCCAATGGCCCACACAAAACAGCCGCTTCCTCTGACTTCCCCACTCTAATCTCATTACTTCTTTCCCAGGCTCATAGGCTGAAAATGTTTACCTTACTTCCAGTTTTCCCCAAGTGTGGTGTGGTGCCAAGACCTGAAGATTCTTCCCCTGCAATGCTTCATGACTCAGTCCCTCATTTTAAGGACCACATTCAGTACCTGAATGCCAGCTGTGCTACTTTTGAAAAACAGAATAAACTCTTTCCTTAATTATGTTGTTGTTGTCATTGTTGTTTAGTCGCCAAGTCGTGTCTGACTCTCTTGTGACCCCATGGACTGTAGCCTGCCAGGCTCCTCTGTCTATGGGATTTCCCAGGCAAGAATATCAGAGTGGGTAGCCATTTCCTTCTCTAGGAGATCTTTCTGACTCACAGACTGAACCTGTGTCCTGCATTACAGATGAATTCTTTTCCACTGAGCCACCTGGGAAGACCGCATAAGATTACTTCAGTCAGTCAGTTCAGTTGCTCAGTCGTGTCCAACTCTGTGACCCCATGGACTGCAGCATGCCAGGCTTCCCTGTACATCACCAACTCCTGGAGTTTGCTCAAACTCATGACAGCCAGCCCACCTGACATCAGGTACCCTCTTTGCTCAGTGAAGTCATCCCTCTTGTTCCACCCATCACATTTTATGCATCTATGTTCATATTATGCTTCAACTCTCCTGTCATAAGATCGCTATGTTAGACCCATTCCTTTAACTGCAGCTACACCTCTTCCCATTTTCTCTGTTTTAGCTACACAGAGGGACAAGATAAAAGTATCAGGCCATCTAAGTGGCCTGGCAACTAAGGCCATGCCTAAAGTGTCAGGCAACTAAGTCTGCCTGAAATAACAGAGCCTACAAGCCACAAGATGGGACCCAAGTCCACATATGTTGGCCTCTTTTCCATCTGCTGATGGTTTTCTTATCACCTGGATAGCTTGACACTTTATCATGTCCCTCTGTGTAGCTAAAACAGAGAAAGTGGGGAGAGGTATAATTGCAGTTAAAGGAACAGGTCTAACATACAGATGTTATGCTGGGAGAGTTGAAGCATAACACGAACATGGATGCATATAATGAGGTGTGTGGGACAAGAGCAATGACGTTGCTGGGCAAAAAGGGTATGTGAGGTCAGGTGGGTTGGCTGTCTGCAGGAAGAACCTGCACCCACAGTTGGGCTGGGAGAGAAACCTGCAGATAAGTGGGGCACAAGGTGCCTGGGGAACAGGCCAAACAGACCTCATGACCTGCTTGAGGAGCAAGACTCATTTTGTATCCCATCAGGTGGTGAAAGCTGCACATATGCTGCTGCGTGGGGCTGTCTCTGACTTCAGGTCCAGGCAGGGCTGAGCCTGTGGGAAATCCCTCTAGTTCCCGCAGGAGGCTGATGTGGGGAAGGCAGGAGCAGGATGAAAACTGCCTGTGATGAAGACAGACTCCTTGGAAAGGATTCAAACAAATGCAGTGGGATCATACAGAATTGGATTATAATGTAAGGGTGTGATTTGCAAAATATGAAAGTAAATAAATCTATAGGGTATTAAGTGCTGCAGAACGTTCCAGGACCTCATTCTCAAACACAGCAGGCATTTCAGTGATTCATGAGTTTGGTTTCAAACTGTCAAAGGACATCTCTTGGGAATCATGGGTTATGTGTCATCAAAAACTGCCTATGGGAGAGAAAGGACTTTCTCAGAAGGTCCTGTTCAAACTCAATGCTGAGAAAGTGGTCTGGGTGAGCCTGAGATTCTGTATAAGAAGATCAAAGAGATGCAGGTGATACTGACCCTGGCAACACAGTCTGAGTCACAAGGAAGCAGGAAACTTGGAGGGAAAGTGGGACAAACTGGAAATGAGGGGAGGGGTTGCTGAGAAAATATTATGTAAAAAAAGGATAAAATGTAGGAAACCAATATTTTTACACATTATAGCAAGCATCTGTAAAAATTCAAGTAATACTTCTGAGCAAGAAAAAAATAACAAAGCAAAATCAATCTACCTCTAGAGCTGGAAAATGCTTTAAAATTGCCCAGGACTCTTTAAAATTATCAAATCAACCAAAAA